CCAAAAAGAAAAGTCCAGGACCTGATGGATTCTCTGCTGAATTCTATCAGACCTTTAAAGAAGAACTGATACCAACCCTCCTTAAACTGTTCCATGAAATAGAAAGGGAAGGAAAACTGCCAAACACATTTTATGAAGCCACTATTACACTTATCCCAAAACCAGGCAAAGACACCTCCAAAAAGGAGAACTATAGGCCAATCTCCTTAATGAACATTGATGCAAAAATCCTCAACAAAATAATGGCAAATCGAATTCAGCAACACATCAAAAAGATTATTCACCACGACCAGGTAGGCTTCATCCCAGGGATGCAGGGGTGGTTCAACATACGAAAATCAATAAACGTAATAAACCACATTAACAGAAGCAAAGACAAAAACCACTTGATCATCTCAATAGATGCAGAAAAAGCCTTTGATAAGATCCAACATCATTTCATGATAAAAGCTCTAAGAAAACTAGGAAATAGAAGGAAAGTTCCTCAACATTATAAAAGCTATATATGACAAACCTACAGCCAGCATTATACTTAACGGAGAAAAATAAAACCATTCCCTCTAAAATCAGGAACCAGACAAGGATGCCCCACTATCTCTCACTCCTATTCAACATAGTACTGGAATTCCTAGCCAGAGCAATTAGGCAAGAAGAAGGAATAAAAGGAATACAAAAGTAAAGAAACTGTCAAAATATCCCTATTTGCAGACGACATTGATCCTATACCTTAAAGACCCAAAAACTCTACTCAGAAGCTTCTAGACACATCAAATAGCTATAGCAAGTAGCAGGATATAAATCAACATAAAAAATCATTAGCATTTCTATACACTAACAATGAGCAAACGGAAAAAGAATGTATGAAAACAATCCATTTACAATAGCCTCAAAAAAAATCAAATACCTAGGTGTAAACCTAACAAAAGATGTGAAAGACCTCTACAAGGAAAACTATACACTTCTGAAGAAAGAGATTGAAGAAGACTATAGAAAGTGGAGAGATCTCCCATGCTCATGGATTGGTAGAATCAACATAGTAAAAATGTCTATACTCCCAAAAGTAATCTACATGTTTAATGCAATTCCCATCAAAATTCCAATGACATTCATCAAAGAGATTGAAAAATCTACTGTTAAATTTATATGGAAAACAAGAGGCCACGAATAGCCAAGGCAATACTCAGTCAAAAGAACAATGCAGGAGGTATTACAATACCTGACTTCAAACTATATTACAAAGCAATAACAATAAAACAGCATGGTATGGCACAAAAACAGACATGAAGACCAGTGGAACAGAATAGAGGAATCCAGATATGAAGCCACCAACTATGAGCAACTTATCTTTGACACAAGGAGCTAAAAATATACGATGGAGAAAATAGCAGCCTCTTCCAACAAAAACTGCTGGGAAAACTTGGTTAGCAGCTCTGCAAAAAAACTGAAACTAGATTTCCATGTCTATATGCACCCTATACTCTTAAGATTACTCAAAACTGGAATCAGGATCTTAAATCAGACGCCCCACAATCTTTAAGTTTGATACAAGAAAGAGTACGGAAAATACTCCTGGAGTTAGTACGGCTATAGGGTTAAGAACTTTTCTCAATTGAAACCCCCAGGGCAGCACCACCGCAACTAATGAATAGCATAGATAAAGATCGGGCTGGACTACCCCAAAAACTAAAACAGCCTTCTGCTTTCATCACAAAGAATGCGTCTCTAAACTGAAGAGAACACCACCA